TTCCTTCGGGAAGTATAGACACATGGGCAGCAATGAAAAAATGCTTCTTGGATAGGTACTATCCCGCCTCAATCTCATCTTCTTTAAAAAAACAAATAAGCAACATTGAGCAAAAAGAAGATGAAACATTGTATGAATATTGGGAGCGCTTCAAAAAGTTGTGTGCTAGTTGCCCATATCATGGGTACACCGAGCAAGACCTCATCCTCTATTTTTATGATGGTCTTGCGGATCAAGATAGGCGCATGGTGAATGCGGCTTGTGGAGGGGGAATTGTTAACAAAACCCCTTCTCAAGCAAGGAATCTCATCTCAGAATTGGCCGAGAACTCCAGACATTACAGTGGGCGATCCTCAACTGGAAGGGTTGCCGCAGCAGAATCCAACACCTCGTTGGAAAGCCAAGTTGCCAGTTTGACTTCTCTTGTCAAAGAACTTCTTCTGAAACCTAACACTCAGGAGGTCAAAGCTTGTGGCATTTGCACAGCAACCGGGCACCCCACTGATTCGTGCCCATCCCTCCAAGAAGAACAAGTCAACGCCTTGGGTTTCCAAGGCCATCAACAGAAGAGGTATGATCCATTCTCAAATTCTTACAACCCTGGATTGCGGGATCATCCTAACTTGAGGTATGGAAACCCTCAACAATCCAACTCATCTTCTCAATCTGGTATGTCAACTAATGACATGATCCGGACTTTGACCTCAAGCATGGTCACCATGCAACAAAACATGGGACAATTTCAACAAACCATGGTACAATTTCAACATGAGACAAAGTCAAGCATTAACAATTTGGAAACTCAAGTTGGTCAAATTGCAAATGCCGTGAACCAACTTCAAACAAAGGACTCGAGTAAACTCCCATCCCAAACGGAGCAAAACCCGAGACAACATGTGAATGCTATAACGTTGAGAAGTGGTGCAACGTTGAAAGAGGTAGAAGAGAACGATGAAGAGACTGAGGGTGTGGACCCTGGAAAAGTAGTTCCACCGGAGGAGGAAAACAAAGAAACCAAGCTTCCCCCACCCTCATCATATGAACAAGAAATCCCGTTTCCTGAGGCGCTGAAGGAGACAAAGAAGCTAGAAAAAGATGCCGACATCTATGAAACCTTCGCAAAGTGTGAGGTAAACATTCCGCTTCTTAACTTCATAAAAAATGTCCCTCGTTTTGCTAAATTCTTAAAAGAATTATGCAAAACAAAAAGAAAAGATAAATTGAAAGGGAAACAAGAGGTTAGAGTTAGTGAACACGTCTCGGCCATTTTTCAGAGGAAACTCCCCGAAAAATGTAACGACCCAGGCATGTTCACTATCCCTTGCAAAATAGGAAACACCACATTTCCTAAGGCCTTGTTGGATTTAGGGGCATCGATAAATGTCATCCCCTATTCTGTTTACAAAACTCTACAACTTGGCCCACTACATCAAACAGGTGTAGTGATTCAATTGGCAGATCATTCTAGTACTTATCCAAAGGGTGTAGTAGAAGATGTGCTAATAGAAGTAGAAAATATGGTCTTTCCTGTTGACTTCTATGTCCTTGAAATGGGAACTGATGACCAAACAACACCCATCCTTTTGGGTAGACCCTTCATGAAGACCGCAAAAACGAAAATTGACGTTTCTAATGGTTCACTAACTTTAGAGTTCGATGATCAAAAAGTGGAGTTCAACATCTTGGACTCTACGAAAAAACAAATACAAAATCCAACTCTGTGTTCTTTACATGTTGTTGAACCACTAGAACCGCTGTTTTTCAAAGAAGCGGATAAAACCAGATGTCTTTTGAGAAAGAAACCCCGGCCTTACTGGAAAAGGCCGAAAAATAAAAATGAAAAATGGCCAAATAGGGCCTTGAAAAGTGAAACAAGGGATGCTCATGATCCCACATAAAACAAAACCAAAAAAAAAATGAATAACGTCGTGCCACGACGTTAACTAAGGCGCTACTTGGGAGGCAATCCAAGTTTATTTTAATTTTTTATTTAAGTGTGTTTAATTCATTTTTTTTATTTAATTCAAGTATTTAGAATTCAATTTTTGTCTAATTATTTGAGAGATCAGTGAGGGAGGGCACTAATCATGGGTTTTTGGAAGAAAAGAAAAAAAAATGCAGGTTTTGAAACATCTGGGGACATACCCGATCGAGTATAACCTTATACTCGGTCGGGTATGAGCAAAAAGAAAAAGGGACCGGGCACTACTCGATCGAAGGAGCATTCAAAAATTGAAAAATAAGCAATACCCGATCGGGTATCACTATACACCCGGTCGGGTATTGCTAGAAATGCTAAAATTGAAGGGGACTGACTCCCACACTCGACCGAGTACCCGCTTCAAAAATGGAAAAAAAAAAAAGCATATACCCGATCGAGTATGGGGAATACTCGACCGGGTACGGGAGACAGGCTGCTCACAAAGTTCATTTTCTAAGCATACTCGACCGGGTAACCCCACCCTACTCGATCGAGTACAGGAGGCAGGCCGCTCAAAAACTACACTTTCCAGCCATACCCGACCGAGTACCAGCACATACTCGATCGGGTATACGGGTCTTATAACCCCAAATCAGCCCCAAAACACTTCATCTTCTCCAAATTCCCAACCCTATCTCGAACAAAAAACGCCCAAACCCCATTTTTACACCTTCTCTCTACCATATCTCTTCCAAATCTTCACCAAATCCACCCATTCCAACGCCAAAACACTCCCCTCATCCTCCTCTACACATTCATACCCACCAATCCCATTCCCCCCCAACTTTCAGAGGTCCGAAAAACCCTACCCCCACCATTCCAATTTCGGTTTTCAAAGGCCAAATTCACTCCAAATGGCTCCAAGGAAAGAGAAAGGGCAAAGCTCAAGCACTAGGGCAATCATCCCGGGCTACGAGGACATTCTCTTCGTGGACAACGAACAACGCACACGCTTCATGTCCACAATTGAAAGGCAAGTCAAACCTTCCCGCTTTTTATGCCTTGATGCTCTAAAGGAATTAGGAGTATACACAATAATGAAGAAATTTTTTCATGAGTTGCATATGGATAAAATTTTCAAAATGCAATACAACTCAAATGAAAAAATTATCTATGAATTCCTAAGCTCGGTGCACTTTGAGAACAATGAAGAGGACTTTAGGGATGATAGACTCAGGTTTCGATTGTTTAATCACAATCACACCATCACGAAACTTGAGTTTGCCGAACACTTTGGTATTCCGGTCCCGTACCAAAAGTCTATATCCGACAATACCGCCTTCGGCCACACCCTATGGACCAAGATGACCGGGGAGACCAAATTTAGCTCCTCCCAACTCTACATTAGTCATGTCCAACATCCAGTCCTACGCCTCTTTTTGAAATTCCTTGCCAACTCCTTGCTTGGACGTCCCAACAACCATCATACAAGGATGGGGGATGTATGCCTCATCTCGGTAGCCTTATTCCGTATCCACGTGGATTTCAACCTCTGTAATCTCATGTGGGCTCATCTAAAGAAGGAAAGTGTGGCAAAGGGTGCTATTGTAGTGGGCGGGGTGATTATGCACTTGGCCACAAAGTTCGGGTATACGGATGACTCTCCTATACCCGACTACTGTTTGATGAACATATCCTGGTTGGGCCACTCGGGCTGTACATCTTTTTCACACACCGTTTATGGTGAAGAAAGGCCCAAAAATATGTACAACTGGCACATCCACCCCAAACCCCTCAAATACTTCCTCTTACCCAACCCAGAACTCCCCCAACTCCACTTCAAAACAGGCAGACCGGATCAACATTACCTCTTCCCAAACGCCCTCCCACCACATCTCCAAGAACCGGAACAGGAACCTCCCCAAAACCAACCCGATGACGAGCCCTATGAGCAACTCCATAGCCATCCAACCATGAGCCATGACTTCCCAGAACAAAGCCAAAACCCTCCACCACCCGACTTCTTTCAACAACTTCTGGAGGGTCAACAACAACTTCTTACGGGAATAGCCCAAATGGACAACCGGCTCAACCGATTAGAGGAAGAGCAAAGAGCCGGTTTTCAAAGATTGGAGGATGAGCAAAGGGCCGGCTTTCAACGTTTGGAGGAGCTCCGGGAGGCCGATAGACACCGGTATGAGGAAGACCAACATAGGTTCTACGGGCCTATGTACTCTTTTATGGCACAGCAGGGATCCTTCCATACCATGGCGACCCCTCCTCCTTTGTATATTAATAATTGTTGACACCCTATTTAGCAACCCACCACTCCTACTCGAGTTACCAAGCTGTATTTATCTCTCTGGTTTGAATTTAATCTAGACTCATTATTTGACCAAATAAGTGAGTGTGTGAGTGATGTCCTGTGCAAGCTGTCCGTCCAACTCTTCTTGCTAATAAGCCAATTCTACCTTTGTATTATTGAGGCAGTCTTCCATTCCTTTGCATGTGGGAGTGTCCTCTATTGACCACCCTTGTTCTTACTAGCACTATATATCAAGTATGGAGTGAAGCCTTTGAGGGAGTGAGGTGAGAAAAGATAAACCAGCTCTTTGTGAAGCTGAGTGAGAGATGGTGAGGAAGGTAGAATAGGGTAGTTGATCCCTTAGCCTAGGAGTGCACAAGGAGACTGTCGAAAACCGACCTCCGATGACCTGAGCCGAATCCGACAAGACAAAAACGGATCCACAACACTCTTTTACCTAAACTTTATCAAGTTGTTAACCACAACTATTTAGATATGGAAAACATCATTCGTATAGAAGGACTTAGCTTGGTTATGTCCATCAAAACGTCTCTCAAATGCTTTAAGAGTGGAATCAGTTATGGGGATCTAGATTGCCATAACAAATTGCACTCTTGGCATTAAGTGTTCTCTTACTATCCTATTTCTTGGAATGTTGTTCCCATCTTTTCCAAGTGGTCAATGGCCCAAAAAATTTGATAGGCTCTAATTGGATTCCATATAAACTAGGAAAGATGATAGAGATGCCATTTAGCTGGATTAAAGGTTTAGAGGGCGGTCCCCATAAGAGCAACCCCAATTCCCCAAGCGTACTATATACATGCCACAACGTGGTCTTCATTTTCATCCACTGCACGCCTCCCCATAGTCTTCCTAAGTTGACTGAACCTTGCTTTAATTTGAGCTTCTGCAAGACAGCAACTTTCTTGGGAATAAGTTTTGAAGGTTGAGGTATGTGTTCGTAAATTAATTTCTGCTTTAATTTCACAGCAAACTTGATCGTTTTGGCAGCCCCTATGAAACACCCACCTTATGTATATACTGATATGTCTTGTCCACAACAAGGGATAGGATCAGTGAACTGCTTGGAACCAAACTGTCCCCCTTTGCAAGGTACGGCTCTGTTTAATTTCTTGCTGAAAATCTCAGTGACAATCTGCCCGGTGGGATCTTTTGCTGTTTTTCCTTGGATTCTATCCCCGCCTTCTCTTGTTCGGTCAGGTATGTATACATTTTCCTTATCGGTGCTCAGTGGCCACATCCCCTGCCCATTGAGCGTGGTCGGGTCATGTCGAGCTAATTCTAGGCTCATACTGTACCCGAACTACTTCTGGCTTGTTCTTACTTCTTATTACGCACCCATACACATATCCAAGACCGGAACGCGCATTCCAGCGACCCGTAGAAAGAATGTTTTTTTTTAAAAAGATTAACCCGGACCTGGTACGTCGTTGTCGGGCCCTGTGCGATTGCGAGGTGGAACTTGGAAGTCCATGGTGATGGGATCGGTAGGAGGGCGTGCGCCGATGCAGAGCTTCTTTAGCCAGCCTGTCCTTGTGGGGGAGAGAAACGTGGCTTATCTTGACTCTTGAGGACCCAGAAAAAGGGGTTAGGCTCAGGGAGAAATTTTTGGAATGCAGGGAGCGAGGGTTTAAAGATAGGGAGAAAGCGAGTTAGGTATGGGCTATGGCGGAAGCTGTACCGCTGTGGTTGATTTTTAGCATTTTGTGGATGAATGAACCACTAACTTTATGTCTTTATCCTTATTTATCTTAGACTTTTTAAGTCAAAAGCATAACTTTTATCAATTATTTTAAGGTGACAATTCTGGTACCCATTTAAAAAATGGGATACCGTACCTATGGGTACCATAGAATTTACCTTATTTTAATTCATCTCAATATTAAAATAAGGTCAAAAAAGTGATTAATTTCCCCTCAATATTACTAAATGCAACACAATTTTCAAAAAAATGACTAGTTTCAAATATTGACAAAAATGTGACTAATGAGGTCATAGATTTGGAAAAGGGTACTGTAACTATAAATAATTATGTTACTGCGATTTTTTCATGTCACTAAGAAGTTGTCATTGTCAAATTTTTAATGTCACTTACGAATGTCACTGTTGTCATAAACATGTCATTGTCACCGGAAAACATGTCACTATGACCATTTCCGATCAGCGAAATTGTCTCCGCCAACACCACGACCGATCAACCACCACACCCGACTCCCACACTCGCACTCAGCCCCGTACACACACCTAGCAACCACCACCGTAGACAGCCGCCACCCTATCCGTGACCACACCGGCCCCTCCCCAGCCCCAGCCCAACCCCACCAGCTCCCTCCTTGCCCCATCCCCAACCCACCAGCCCCCTCCCTAGCCCCTCCCCGGTCCACCAGCCCCCTCCCTTGCCCTCCCCGGCCCACCAGCCCCCTCCCCATCCCACCAGCCGCTACCAGCTGCCTCCCCAGCACACCAGACCCTTCCCCATCCCAACAGCCCCTCCCCAGCTCACCAGCTCCATCCTTAGCCCACCAGCCTCATCCCCGCAGCCGTCACATCGAATCACTGCGCCACCACTGACCGTGGCCACAATTATTCCTATAACTGACCCCAGCGCAACCCTAGCTGCAGACAACAGATCCGAAATCCTAATCAACCAAATCTCTGTCCCAATCGAAGCAATAGTAGATGTAGAAACCAAATCGATGTAGAAAGGAGAGGAAGAAGATTTAGGTCGGTCAACAATGGTTGTCGTCTCCAAGGCTCGAGACGCCATCGTCGTATCATAGCCGCTGTCATTGTCGTTTTTTACTGAATCGTTGCCACCATCTCCGATGGAGAGGTCGTGTCGGAGAAGAAGAACGATGTGGATGGTGATGAGAAGCAGAGAAGCAGATAGAAGGCGCGCAGAGAGATGCGGTAGTCCATTGGTTGCGCTAGGTGATGCCGATCAAAAGAGAAGCAGAAGCTTTGTACGAACGTGAAACGAGAATGAGTTATTAGATTTGGGCTATGAGAGTTGAGTCACTTTTTGTCTATGTATAAAATGGTCATATATTTGTCCATTCAAACTCTCTAACTAATATTTTTGTCATTCTTTCTTAATTTAATCAATAATTTGGAGTTACAATCAGCCAAAAACTCAAGATCCACCATCTTCTAAAAAACTCCATCTAAACTCAAAAAAAGCCCTACGATCAGACTATGAGACGTTCACCTCCAAACAAGCAACACAAATCGCTCGCCACCAAAAAAGCAACATATAGTTCTTTCTGACCCTTAAGGTCACTGTACTCTTTACCACTTCAATAAACTCAAAATAGCCGAAGAGTTCCCTCATTCCGTGATCAAATATAGAAAAATTCGTCCAAAACAGAGAATTTTTTTTGTTGAACATATGGAAGATTTGAGGCAAATAACGGTAATGAGCACCCCCCAAACTATCTCTAACACAAGCAAGCCAAAAACATAGTAAAAAGTCTAAAAAGGCATAAGTAAAACTAGAAAGAAAAGGAGAGCCATTAACCGCATTAGCCAGATCCAAACTTGAAACGTTTTTTTCCAAACCCTAATCATCTAATCCCTCCATGGTGGCGGTTCCGAAGGAGGATGGGCTGGCAATATTGCATGTTCTTCCTCACCCCTCTCATTGTGCATCACCTTCTCCTTGAACCCACACATCCAGCCCGAACTAGATTTGCTCATTTGCATCAGGTGAAAGCTTTGCACCACGAATCACAAGAACACTACAAGGATCTCAATGATACTCCAAAATCCTGTCTAAGCAACCTTTGACCACTACCACAAAGGATAGACCAAAATTGTCGAACACAGTGATTGAAAAAGCTCACCACCGAAAAGAGAAACCCTAGAATGCTAGGGAAATGGCTGCACTACAGAGCGTATAAGAGTGGCGTGTAGCAATTCTTTTTTGATGAATTTATACTTTTATGATATTATTTTTAATAAAGAACAAAGAGAGTATAAAATTGTTCAGGATAAGATTAAAATATGAACATAATTCTAAAAATAAGAGTAAAGATATTTTTAATTGGATTGATTTGAGACTATTGAGTCCCTTATAACTAGGTCAAACTTGATTATGCCAAAATATGATGCGATCAAAATTCTACATTTCAATAATACACATAAAATAAACATCTATAAAATCAAATCTACAAATTTAATCATATCAGACCAAATTTAAACAAAATAGATGAGATCATACCGAACTAGAAAGTCTCAGTCCAATTAAAAGATTTTAAATATGCTTTCTTTCAAAAATAGGACTTATTTACTCCTGTTAAAATTATAGACTTTTCGAAAATAGAAGTGAATGTGTCCGATTTTATGAAGAAAACAATGAAAAATTTTATATTATCATATTATGTTTTACTCTTATTATGTAATTTTCATTAAACGTTAAGGATTGACATAAAAGTATCTTGGTAACACGGGGCACTCTTCATTGGCAAGTTACCTGTGGCAGCAGTTGTGGTTGATTTCAGCATTTTGTGGATAAGCGTATAGGAAATTGCTCAAAATAGGATATGAATAAATTATAGAACAAGACTAAAGATGTTATTAATCGGATGGTTTCAGTGTAAGACCTGATCAAATTTAATTAGATCAAACTAGATTAGACCAAACCAGACTCCGATAATGATAAAACTATATTATTTTAATAATAATAAAATAAAATAATACTCCCTCATCGCATAATATTTTGTCAAATTTCTTTATTTAGTCGTGCCAAAAGACCAGGTATATTTCAATCCTCAATACTTATATGTTTATTCTTTCTAGAGAGAGATTTATATTGCAACTTTGTTTGACCACATAAGCCTCTAGATTTTATGCATCATATTTTTATAATTTGGGTTCACATGAGAGTAAAATGTGAATTTCTCTTCTAATATGTGATTGATATTCCAACGGTAGTTACTTCATATTGATACATAGAGTATATTCTTATGTTGCATTGCATAAATGGATTGTTAAACTTAAGAAAAAAATGATAATAATATATTGATTTAGAAAAAATTTAGAAAACTAATTGGCAAACAGAATCCAGAGCCTTGACTAAAGAACTTACCTCGAATGTTCATATTAATCAAGATTGCAATATTTGAAAAGTTAAAGAACATGAAAATACAAAAGACATATTATCTAAACATCAATAGTTGCAAAAAATGAGCTTTTCAAACCTCAAAACACCATAAAGAAGAAAAAATAAATATAAAATTTAGAAATTAACTAAAGTTTTGAGTGATTCATTTGTGAAGGATTGGTGGGTTTATATAGAATAGTAACAAATTCTTGATAGTCTATTCATAATCCTAGATAAGTACGTGATGAAATTGTTGAGCCATACTGTCAAAATATATTCATCTCAACTACTCAATAATATCTTGTGTAGTAGTTAGTTTTCTACAAATTCAGAAACTTACAGCAATGGCTTTACCATTTTTATTCAACGAACCAAGTGGGTTCAGCGCCTTTTTCGGCTCGTGTCCGGCGCGTTATGGGTCTGGGTCTAGTATCAGATCGGTTCAGTAACCTTTGGACATTTGTAAACATTTAACTCTTGTGCCAGTTTAGTAGGGTCCGTCGCCGTGTTTTTTCATCTCACAAATACATTGTATTTTGTCCTCTTTTGGCTTCAGCGAATGTGTGCAGTTTTAAACCGCTTTCAACATGTTACTTCACTTTCTTAGATCTTGGTCATACTTCATATTTCTGAAACATCTTGGGGGGTGTACCTGTATTCCTCTCTTTTTCCTATATAAGTTATTATTTTTACTTTTGTAAATCATGAGTAATTATTGCGTCTATCACACTTCCAGCGAAAATTAAATTCATAGATTAAAAGTGATATAAACACTACATTTGAAAATATAATGTGAGATTATAAAACATAAAAGTAAACAATTAGATTGAATGGTTAACATAACTAAATAGATGTAAAAGCAAACTTGTAAGGACCGCCTCAATGTCGAGGCGTAAAGTTATTACATCCTCTCGTTATCACAATTCACAAATATATATATACATAATTTGACGCAACTTGATTGATCTATGTGATAAGTCATAAGAGCAATAGTTAATGTTACTTTTCATTCATAACACTAACTATGTACAATATAAACACACAAACATTGAGTATTAAATAGGGTAAAATACTTTTATTTCAGTAAATAATAATTAACTTACAACATTATGTTAATAAAAGAATCTTATGCTTCCACCATAATGTACGCCATATTTGATCCATAATCTATTAAAGTTTTTCTATTGCTTGTACCAAATGTTTGTAAACCGATCGGTACTTGTTGCTCATTAATATAAATACTCTAAAGCTCCACATTGTAATTTTCTCTCACCATTTGATGCATGTTAGTTGTATAGATAATATTTGCAAAAAAATAGATACATATATTTCTATCTAAAGAATGCATAATTCCTAATTTGTGTGTGTTTATGTGTGTATATAAAGAATATATGCATATAGCATTATAGACATGTGTGCGCGTGCGTGTGCATATCTATAGACATGCACATTTGCATACATATACAGACACACATAAACATTTCACACTTACTGATAGAGTATATCTAGAGAGAAGTGAGAGCTAGAGAGAGAAGTGCAATAATATGCTTCAATAGAATGATTTTGTAACCCCTATAACTACTCCCAAGGGGAGTATTTATAGAGAAAATACGGGCTGGGCTCCCAAGCCTTGGGCTTGGGAGGCCCATTTACAACTGGACCGCTACTGGGCCGAATACAAAGCCACTAATGGGCTGTACAAATGAGTAAGTGCGAAATCCGGTTCTGGGAGGTCCTCGTGGCTGACGAGGGCGTGGCCGACGAGGGCACCCGGGTTCCTTGGGCTCAGGACCATAATCTGGGTTGGCCCCTTCTTCGGCCGACGGGGGCGTCTTGGCCGACGAGGGCGCCACTCTGTGTCTTGTGTTTTCTGTTCTTCCGAGTATGTGGGTCCGGGGGCTCAGACCCATATACTCCATCAGGAGTCCCCCACTCTCTAAGCTGAGACGTAGACGAAGTGAAGGAGAGTAGATTCCCGTGCTTTAGTGCTTTTGGCCGATGCGGGCATCCCCGGGCCGTTAGTCGTTGCGGCGTTGGCGTTGTTTCCTCTTTGGTGATCCTGTTCTGTGCTTTGGCCGTTACCTGTTCCTCGCTGTGGGCGGGGATGCCGTTTTTTCCTTAATGTGTTCATTTGAGGATGATGAGTGTTCTTGTTTCAATGGCGGCCGTTGAAGGCATGCTTTCCCTTTCCTGGACGTTGGTGGTTGAAGTTTATGTTTGGGCCGATGAGGCCGTTGAGGTTGTTCCTTGCTTTGAGGACGATGGCGTCCTTTCCTTTGGGTGGCCGATGAGGGTGCTCGCGCACTCCTTTTGGCCGTTGTTGATGATGTTATGTGCCTCTGGCCGACGAGGCGCCATTGTGATGCGTGGACGATGTGGCCATGCTTTGTGGTTACATGTTCTTTGTATTGTTCCTTTTTGTTTTGTTGAGGCCGATGTAGTCCCCCAGTCCCCCACTGCTTCAGGCCGAAGAGTGTGAGGGGTGAAGGAGTTGCTTGAGTCCCTGGCCGAAGCGGTCTCTCCGTAGTCCCCCTGAATCCAACCCTCATGGCGATTTTCTGGCCAAGGTAACCCTGTGGGAGAACCCTTGTGCGCAGATCGCTTGTAGAGAGTTATCATCAAGGATCATTACGAGGAGCCGATGGCTGTGGGCTCTTTGTTCCTTTTGTGCTGTGGCCGTTACGGGCGTTCGTTACATTCCTGGCCGTTGTCGTCTCCTTATTGTTGGCGTTTGTGAACCTGGCAAGCAAATGGGACGTTGTGGGCGCTTGCCGGCAAGTAGGACGATGTGGGCGCTTGCTGGCACTCGTGAAGCCGGCACGTGTATAGGCCGTAGAGTCCGTCTTGCCAGTGGGCTGTTGTTATTGAGTTTGGCCCGTTGGTGACGTGGTGGCCTCCCATTGGTGACCGTTGATGTGGCCATTGGGAGGGTGCCACGTGTAGTGACCGTTGGGTGGGGGGGTTCTATAAATACCCCTCCCCCTCCGACGAGAAACCACATTTGCATTCTGAATTGTCGAAGTGTTGGCCATTTTTCTAGAGAGATAAACTCCCAAGCTTGTTCTTCGTGTTCTTCGTTGTTCAAGGTTAGTGTTCATCGCCATCTTCTGTACTTTGTGCATACTTTGCTTCCTAGGCTAGTGATCTAGTGTTAGGCGTTTGAACACCCTTAGATCCTAAGTTACTTCCCTTAGGCTCGTAGTAGTAGTTATGAAGAGATTGAACGAAGACTACTACCCTTACGACGACCAGCCCTCCACGAGGTCACTTGACTATGAGGTGCTCGAGGAGTTCGAGGAGGAGATACAACATTTGAGTCCTTACAAATCCGAAGAGCTGGTGGACGATGAAGTCGAGGACGAGGAGTCCGCCTCTTCTTCCAGGGGTGAGGACGCAGGTGCGTCTCGAGTGGTGGACGGGGCGTCCACTTCCGCTGTCATTCCCTGCCCGAGGCCGGTGTCTGCCGTGAAAGGAGCAGATAAGCCGAAGAGGGTGAGGAGGCCGAAGAGTGGGCCGGGCCTCTCCTACCTCGATCTCACCAACATCTTTTTGATTAAGCCGGAGAGCAGCGCGGCCGACTATCTTGTTGCCCAGATGTATGTGGGGCCGTTTGGGCGGGTTAGGGCACCCAGGCCGACGGACCATGTTCTTCTTCCGCCACCGGGATACTTTGGAGTATACCCGATGAGTTTTGCTAAGGGGTTGAGGTTCCCCCTTCACCCTTTCATCACTGAGTACCTGGACATGGTAGGGCTTCCTCCGGCCTTGCTGACGCCGAACAGTTATTCCTTGATGGTGGGGTTTTTGCTCCGGTGTGAGGAGCTGGGCTACAAGCCGACAACGGCCCTATTCATGAATCTGTACCAGATCGGCCGAGGAAGCCACAAGAACTGTGCGGCCTATGCTACTCTTCAACAGCTGCCAAAGAAGAGGAGCTTCACGGACTTGCCTTCGTCCATTCATGGGTGGAAGAGCAAGTTCGTTTTTGTATCCCTGGGTGAGAGTGGCACCGAGTTTCCCTCCCTCGGCCATACCGGGAGGTTCAATCTCCATGACCCGCCGAAGAGCTCTATCTTGGATGCTCAGGTGGAGGCTTTCCTGGAAGGGGGGCCGAGGAGCGTGAAGGATTACATTACTGAATATAAGATGACCGCCCTCGGCTTCTTTAGATACCATGTGTATGGCGATAAGGAGGATGATCTCCAACTCTGGCCGAGGATGACTACCACCTTCGAAGAGGCCGACGGCCCGGACTTGGGCATCCCCGCTGAGGCCGATGGTAATGATTTCTTCGGCTTTGTGTCTTTATGCTTTGTTCTTTTGCCTTGCTAATCTGTTGTTTTTCCTTTGTAGATTTCGTCATGGATCGCCGTTCCATAATGGCTATTGCTAAGGCCAAAGCGGCCGAGGAGTTGGCTGCTAAGGCAGCCGAGGCGGCCAGACGTGCCGCGGCCGAGGGAAGCGGGGCTACTGCTGGTGCGGCCCCAAAGCCTGCCCAATCCAAGAAGAAAAGTCCTCCTACTGACGGCCAGAAGAAGTTAACTGAGGCCGGCCTGAACGTCGCCAAGAAGACGAAGAGGGCACCGTCTCCTTCCCAGGCTACTGAGGCCGGCACCCTTGCCGTCCCCAGTGTGGCCGATAGCGGTCCTGTTGTGGACCTCACTGCTGCTGGCGATGCTGCCCCATCGCTTCCTCTCGTCCAGGAACCACGGACGAAGAGGGCCGGCAAGGAGATTGTCGGTGCCACCTACCAGAAGATGGTAGAGTACCCCGTCGGCGGGGGGGTGTTTGATGATGTCGTCCTTGGCCACGACGTCCTGGCCCAGGCCATGCCGGCCAAAGATAGGGCCTATCTGAAGAGGCTCGGGGACGTGAAGATTTACGAGGGCGGCATGGACCTCCTCGTCCAAGTAAGTTACTTTCCTTCGTATGTGTCGTTTTTTCTCGTCGTCCATGTAGAGTCGTTTGCCTGAGTTTTGTTTTCCTTTTCTGCAGAGTGCCTTTATGCTCATGGAGAGCCATAAAAGGCAGTACCGGGAGATAGCTCGTTTGAAGGAGCTGGAGCAGAAGGCTGCCTCGGCCGACGAGGCGGTAGCTTGCCTGGATCGGCTCCGGGAGGATGCCAAGGCTTTGCAGCAAAGGGTCGATGAAGCCGCTGCAGCCAGGGACGATGCCCTGGCCAAGCTCGAGGAGAGCAAGAGGGAGCTTGAGGCCGAGCGGCGCAAGAATGAAGAAGCCGTGAAGGCGAAAGCTGAGGCCGAGGCCGCCGCTGTGAGGGCTGCTGATGAGGCCGTTGAGAAGTTCCTGGCCGAGGGTTGGAAGGCCGATGAGAGGCTTCCCTGGTGCTACGAGGTGGTGGCCGCCAGGCTTGAGAGTTGGGGGATGAACTCCCCCGCCGGCCAGGAGTATTTCAGCAGAGAGATGGCCGTGTATTATAACATGGGCCAGGAGCGGATGCAAAGGCTCCTGTGTCGGCGGCTATCTCGTGCTTTGAAGGCCATGAATTACACGTCTGGGTGGGCTAGACGGAACCTGAAGCTTCCAAAGCTGATGAAGGATCCTGAAGAGCAGGCCCAGCTTCCGCTGTCGGAGCGTGAGTCCCCCATTGAGAGTTCTGGCCTCGGCGAGCCGGATTACACGGAGTTTGATTTCCTCGACGATGCCACCAGTGCTGCGGCTGCCGGCGGCCAGGAGGCTGAGGCCGAAGAGGGAGCTGAAAACGTTGAAGAGCCAGCCGAGGATGGAGGCGCTCATGAGGCTTGATCGGCTACTCCCTTGTAATTAGTTTTTATTTTTTCCCAAATGATGTAACGGCCGAAGAGCCCACCTTTGTACTGAACTGAATATAAATGAAATTTTTTGCTGTCCTGATCGGCTTTGAATTCCTTGTATGCTTGTTGCCTTTTGTCATTTCACAACTTGGTTCACCCGCGAGTGTCCGCTACGTCCGTGAGGTCGTCCTCCCTGTACTGTGGCATGGTCGGCCTGTTCATCTTTGCTTTACTATCAGAACACTTAGGATTTTTTTTTAAAAATTTCCTAAGTGTTTTGGGTCCACGTAGTTGCTTTCCTTCCGGCCGGGTGGCTTGGTCGGCCTGTCCGGTGCTTCCTTACTATCATAACACTTAGGATTCATTCAAAATTTTCCCAAGTGTTTTTGGATTCACTTAGGTGCTTTCCCTTCGGCCTTGACCGTGGTGTCCGCTCCGTCCTGGCGTTGGATTTATCATTCTTGACAAATGCTCTGGGAGATTTCCCAAGTGTTTGAGCCAGTGTCGTTGTCGGCCTGCATCCTTGTGTTGTGGCCGATAAGGGCACCTTCACCTTGATCTTTTGAACTTAGAATTTTTCTAAGTACACATGCAGAGGTGTAGGTAGCTAACGGCCTTGGAGTATACAGGTACCCGCTTCGGCTAGAGTTCCTTCATTTGAGTACTTAGAGAATTTTTCTAAGTATAAATGTAAGGCATTTACTTCTTTGTGGTACCGCTGCCGGCCAAGGTCTGGCTTGTGGCCGATGAGGGTGCCGGACAAGGAATGGTTTTACCAAGGAGATGGTCCTACCTTCGTCGGCTAGCCATGGTTCCTTGTTGAGGAACCCTCTTTTTTCTCAGGATTTTTTCTAAGTGTTTGGCAAACACTTGAACAAATTCCCAAATAACTTTCGCTTGACCAACAGCCTTGGTTCCAGTGCCTGCAGCGACCATCCGAGATGCTGTGGCAAGTAGAGGTTGTTTCTTGATTGCTTGATTCTTCCGCGGGTGTGATAAGTGCCCGCTTCGTCCTGGTCATCCTCAGGATTGTGATTCTTTGTTTCATACCACGCGTTGGTGCTTCAAAGGACTGTGGCCGATGAAGGTCACCTCTCGCGTATCACCCAATCGATGCGGTTAGGGTTTTATAGGCGTGTGTTTCGGCCTTGATCATTCCCTTGTAGTGCGTGGACGTGTCGTCCATGATACCTGTCAGTGGTGCTACACTTGTGTTCAACTGATATGTATTTGGCCAAACTGGGCCTGAATTGTGGGGATTTTATTTTTCATTGCTCGAGGCCGGCAAGTGTGCACGGCCGTCGGCTTCCCTCTTTTTCCCTTGTATATTTTTTTTTTCGTTTCGGGGAGTATCCTTCTTTCAGGCTTCGGCCGAAGGGTGTGCTCGTCCTTCGGCCGGTTCGGACTTCGTTTATAACGTCCGTGATCTCAGGGCGGGTCCCGTCGCCTATTTATGACGCGGGCTAGACTTTTGGTTGGTTTCCAACGGCTGTCGTTGCCCATCCCTGAGTTTTGGGATTTTGTCACCTCGGCCATGATTTCAGGCCTGTCGTCCTGCGATCTGGCACGTGGACGACGCGGTGAGCTTCCCGTTTCAAGACGTGGGCCGTTTGCGGGCCCCTCGTCCTGGGGACATCGTCGGCCATACCTGAGCGTTTGACTTCTAGGCTTACGGGGCCAGGATGATGTGCTCTCTCAGCTAGGCCTGAGCCCTTCGCTGATACAAAATACAATGGAGTGCCTGAGCTTGTTGCTCGTAGGCTTCAAATGCAAGGGGCCACGTCGGCCATACCTGAGCCTTTCGCTCTAAGGTGGCCGACGGGGGCACCTGCTAATGTTTTACTTTAAATTCCAGAGAAAAAATCAGGAACATGATTTTATTCATAAGTGGCTCGAGGCCGAGGGTGGCGTTCAATCAGTAACCCGTTAAGGGGTGAGGGCTTCGCCGTCTACACCTCCTTCGAATTACTGATAAAACTTCACCAGATGGTGTACATTCCACGTTCGTGGTACATTGGACCCATTCGGGCGTTTGAGCTTGTAGGTGCCGGGTTTGACCACGGCACTGACGATGTAGGGCCCTTCGTACTTCAATGCTAGCTTGCCACCCTCTGTCGGCTGGCTTGCTTCCCTTCGGCGGAGGACGTAGTCCCCCACCTGAAATTCCCGGGAACGTACCTTGGCGTCATAGTATGATTTTACTTGACACCGGTAGTTCTCTGCTCGGACGTAAGCTTGCTCACGCCTCTCATCGACCAGGTGCAGGTCAACCTTCATGTTCTCTTCGTTGGCGTCAGGCTCGTACTGTTCCACCCGTCGGCTGGGGATGGCAACTTCCGTGGGTGCTTTTGCCTCAAAGCCGTAGCACAGGGCGAAAGGCGTTTCACCTGTCGCCCTCCTCGGCGTAGTTCTGTAGCACCACAGGATGTTGGGGAGCTCGTCGACCCAACTACCTCCTGCAGCCTGGAGCTTCTTCTTCAGCCCCTCCATAATTGTTCTGTTGGCGTTCTCGACCTGCCCGTTGCCCTGAGGGTAGGCAACGGAGGAGAAACGATGCTTTACCCCAAACTCCCGGAGGAGTTCTTGGAAAGGGGCTACCTCGAATTGGGTGATGTTGTCTGATATAATCTCCTGGGGGACGCCAAAGCGTGTGATGATGTTCTTGTAAGCAAATTTTTGGCATCTGGCCCCCGTGATGCTAGCCAAGGGCTCCGCCTCGACCCACTTGGTGAAGTAGTCGACGGCGACGATGATGTAGCGGTTATTCCCGGCGGCTCTGGGCAGGGGGCCGACCAGGTCAATCCCCCATCTGGAGAATGGAATTGCGGTGCTGACGGGGGCGTAGTTGACGGCTGGCCGACCAGGGGCCTTCTGGAGTACCTGACATGTGGTGCACTTCCTGGCCAGGTCAGCGCAGTCGCGTGCCATCGTCGGCCAGAAGAAGCCCTGGACGACGAGACGCCGGGACATGCTGAAAGGCCCCTGGTGTGAGGAGCAGACGCCACAATGAACTTCTTCCATGGCTATGTCGGCCTCATCCTGGTGGAGGCATCGAAGGAGAGTGCCATTGTAGGATCGTTTATAGAGTTTGCCATCTTCGATGGTGTAGCTTGGGGCCCTGAGTTTGGCAAGTTTGGCTCTCTCCTCGTCCGGGGGCAGCTCCCCCGTTGCGATGAAGGTGGCGATGTCGGAGATCCAGTCCTCTGGTCGTTGTTGGACGCACAAGACGGGGCTGGCATGGATGCTGGACATGCTCAACTCCTCGATCTTGGCCAACTGGGAGATGTGCTCCGGGGTGTCCGAGCTGAGTTTGGAGAAGATGTCGGCTTCGGCGTTCTCGGCCCTTGGGATCTAAGTGATCTCGTGGGTTTCAAACGCTTTCAGCAACTCCTCCGCCGCTTGTTTGTACTGCTTCATCCAGCCTTCCTTTGCTTCGTACGATCCCTCCACCTGGCCCACTACCAGTTTGGAGTCGCACTTGATTTTGAGGTGCTTGGCCTTGAGGCCGGCTGCGAGTCTGAGACCGCTGAGAAGGGCCTCATACTCGGCTTCGTTGTTGGACACCCTGAAGTTGAAGCGGATGGCATGGTAAGCTCTGAATCCTTCAGGGGATATGAGGACGCCGCCGCCGCCGCATGATTTCGCGGCCGACGAGCCGTCAGTGAACAAGGTCCATGTATCGTCCTGCTCCGGCCCGGGGTTGGCGACGGCCGTCTCCCTTGCTGTGCATTCGATGACGAAGTCGGCCAAGGCTTGCCCTTTAATGGATGGCCTTGGCTTGATCTCAATTTGGAACTGGCTGAGGAAGATCGCCCATTTCACCATCCTAGAGGAGCTGGTGGGGCTCCTCATGAGTGCGCCGAGAGGCTGCTGGGTCAGTACATGGACGGCGTGGGCCTGGAAGTAGTGTCCCAGCTTCTTCACCGTATGGACGATGGCCAGCACCGTCTTCTCAATGGGGGAGTACCTGAGCTCGGCCTCCCTGAGCGTCTTGCTGATGTAGAAGATGGCCTTCTGCACCCCTTCGTCCTCACGGATGAGCACGGAGCTGATGGCCGACATGCTCACCCCTAAGTACAAGAAGAGGGTTTCGCCGGCTTTGGGCTTGGAGAGCACGGGTGGGGACGACAGGTACCTTTTCAATTCGTCGAATGCTTCCTGGCACTCCGTCGTCCACTTGAAGCTGTTTGCTTTACGCATGATCTGAAAGAAGGGGAGTGCCCTCTCGGCTGACCTGGAGAGGAACCGGTTTAAGGCCGCCAGGCGCCCCGTCAGTCGCTGTACCTCCTTGACGTTGCGGGGCGGCTCCATGTTGATGATAGCCTGCGTCTTCTCCAGGTTTATCTCGATGCCTCTCCGGCTGACCATGTAGCCGAGGAACTTGCCGCCCTGGACGCCGAAGGCGCATTTCTTGGGGTTGAGGCGGAGCCTGAACTCCTTCATTATTTCAAAGATTTCCCGGAGGTCGTCGGCGTGGGAGGTGGCCTGCCTGCTCTTGACGATCATGTCGTCGACGTTCGCCTCCATCGTCCGGCCAAGGACCGCTCTGAAGATCTTGGCCACCATCCTAGTATAGGTGGCGCCAGAGTTTTTGAGTCCGAAGGCCATGACGAGGTAGCAAAAGATTCCCTCTGGGGTCATGAATGTCGTCTTCTCAGCGTCATCTTCATGCATGGAGATCTGGTGGTACCCTCTGAAAGCGTCGAGGAACGACATCAACTCGCACCCCGCCGTCTCGTCCACCAGCTGATCAATGTTGGGGAGAGGGAACGGGTCCATGGGGCATGCCTTGTTCAGGTCAGTGTAATCAACACACATTCTGAACGTCGGCGGTTTATGTGCGAGGACGACGTTGGCCAACCATGTCGGGTACTTCACCTCTTTGATGTGTTTGATTGAGAGGAGCATGGCGACCTCCCCTCTGACGAAGTCCCGCCTGTCGGCGGACAAGTAGCGCCGCTTCTGCTTGACAGGCGCGGAGGCCGGATCGACGGTCAGCCGGTGAGTGATCACCTGGCGGCTGATGCCTGGCATATCGTCCGGGCCCCACGCGAAGATAATGGCGTATGACCGTAGGACGAGGAGGATGGCGTCTCGTTGGTCCTGGGGGAGTTGTTTTCCGACTCTGAGAACCCGCTCCGGCCGGGAGGTATCCAGAGGGATTTCCTCGACCTCCTCGGCCGGCTCCGCATGTGGCCTCTCCTCGTCCATGGCGGCGGCGGTCGTGATGGTGTCTATTCTCTGGCCTTCCCTCTCGGCCGGCCTCGTCAGTTTGAGGTAGCATGCCCTGGCTATCCTCTGGTTTCCTCTGGCGTAGCCGATGCCGTCGTTGGTGGGGAACTTTAGGCACAAGTGCTTCATGGAGATGATGGCCTCCAAGTCCTCCAGCGCTGGCCGGCCCAAGATCAGGTTGTGGGCGTACTGGAGGTTGACCACCATGAACTCCGTGTCATTTTTGGCATGGTGGGGGCCGTCACCGACCTCCACGGGGAGGACTATCGTGCCCTCAGCGTCGATAGAGTCCCCGGTGAAGCCGGATAACGGTGTCTTGATCGGCTTCAACAGAGCTCTGTCCAGCTTCAGCTGCTTGAAGGTGTCCAGGTACATCACGTGGACGGAGCTCCCCGTATCGATGTAAGTTCGGTGGATGATGGAGTCACCGATCTCACATCGGATGACGAGGGCGTCCCTGTGTGATTCCGTACCCGAAGGCAGATCCCTGTCGGTGAAGGTGATCGCCTCCGTTCGCTGCTTCTTCGGCTGGGGGGGGGGGGGGGACGTGGGACACCTCCCCAATGTAAAGGGATTGGGCCCATTTCTTTCTCTGAGTGGCGGAGTCCCCCCCAGTGTTCCCACCTACGATGAGGTGGATGTGATTCTTCTTCGGCGGGGGCTCTTCAAAGTCCTCGTCGTCGCTGAGCCTACCAATCTCCCGCTTCTTCGCAGAGGGTTCACCCCCATGTTTGCCGGTGTTTACCCAAGTGTTCTTGCGTGGGCCACCTTTGACAAACTGGGAGAGTTCCCCCTGGCGAATAAGGCGTTCGATGGCCTTCTTCTGTGTGATGCAATCGTCGGTGTTGTGCGACGAGTTCTTGTGGAACCGGCAGTATGTGTCGCCCTGCTGGATGGCAACGATCTCCTCGGCCGGCCGAGGAGCCTGCTCGATGAGGCCGTGCTTCTCGGCATAATCGAGGATGGTGCCGACTGGGTGGGTGAGGGTTACCCCCGGCCGTTCCAACCTCGGCCGCCAGTGGCGATCGTTCTTACTCTGTCCACCAGAGCCGTGACGGCCCTGGGCACCCTGGCCGGCCGGGGACGGACCCGGGGCCGGCGAAGGATTTGTCTTCTTGGGGGGATGGCCCCCCTCTCTCTTGTGATTGTGGAGCTCGTCGGCGTCGGCATACAAACCTCCGCGCTGGAGCGCCTTGGCGTACGACCTTAGGGGGTCGGTGATGAGGCTCCTAGCGTACGGGGAGCTGCGGAGGCCCCCCTGATACAAGGCAAGGAGGGTGCGCTCATCGGCCCCCTCGACCTCCTCGGTTTCCCTCGTCCACCGATCAATAAATGACCGGAGGGATTCTTCGTGCTGCTGTTTCACGGAGAGCGGGTGGGTGAAATACTTCTTCGCGCGCTTCCTCCCGGCAAAGTGAGTGAGGAAGCGCTGGGCGAGATCCTGCCATGAGTCGATACTCCCTTCGGGGAGCGCGTTGAACCACTCGTACGCTGGCCCCTCGGGAGTAGAGAGGAACCAACGGCAGAGGTATTCGTCAGACGCGTTCACCATCAGCATGTTGTTCTAGTAACGGCTGAAGTGTTCCTGGGGGTCTGATCGGCCGTCGTAGGTCTTGATGGCGTTCCCCCTGTACTTCTCCGGAATGGGGGCCGAGAGGACCCTGTTGGTGAAAGGGGTCCTGGTCCTGACCTGGATGATGGGGTCACCTCGCCCCTCGGCCAGCTCCCTCTCCAGGGCGCTGACCTTGTTCATGAGCGCGTTGAGGCCGGGGTCGTTGGAGGCGCCGGGCGTAGGGATGTTGGCCGACTGCTTGGCTTCCATCTGAGCCAGCCTCCTTTCCAGCTGGGCGATGACCTCGTCCCGCGGGTCCCTGGCGGCCGCAGCGGCGCCCGGCTGGTTCCTCATGCGCTCGTTGTGAGCCGCGTTGATCTGGTGACGCACGTCATCCTCGTGCAACTTTCCCTTGCCCTTGTCCGGGCGGGGCTGGTCCGCTGTCCGGGACACAGACCCCAAGCTTTCCCTCGGCGAGCCGGGACGAGGATCACCAATCCGTCCCGCCATCCTCTCCGAAACCGGACGACGGCACGTGTCACCTAGCCTATTGAAGGCAGAGGCTTTTCCACGCGCTGGGGTCTGCCCAGGCCGAAGAGGGGAAGCAGGGTGGGAGTGGGACGACGCCGTGTCCTGGGGCACCACCCCCTCATCGTTGCCTATCTGGACGGCCAACGGTTGGGGCTGAGGGGGTTGAGTGACGTTCCCTCCGGTCCTTGGCAAGAGTGCGCTGAGGACGGTGGGGTTCTGAGCCAGGCTGGCGATGATGACCGACAGCGCGGCCTGGACCTGCGGATCCACGGACGGAGAGGCTGCGGCCATAGGCTGGGCCGGGGCGTGGTCCGTCTTCTCAGCTCGCTTCTTGTCCAGGCCGAGGCGGGCATCAGGGACTCCGCCGTTGAGTTGGTTGCGGAGGTCCGTCGTGAGGTTGAAGGCCTCCTGGAAGAGGTCCCCTCCGCCGACCTGGTCGGCCGTGGCGTCCTCATCGTGCTCTCTGGGCTCTTGGTCCTCAGGGATGGTTTTGCTGACGAGGTTGCGGTTTGACTTAGTTCTCCCCATGATCAGTGGTTAGCTGTGCTTGGTAGCGACGAAGGGTGTTAACTTGATTGTTCTAGCTCTCAACGAGAGCACCAAATGATAGAGTATATCTAGAGAGAAGTGAGAGCTAGAGAGAGAAGTGCAATAATATGCTTCAATAGAATGATTTTGTAACCCTATAACTACTCCCAAGGGGAGTATTTATAGAGAAAATACGGGCTGGACTCTCAAACCTTGGGCTTGGGAGGCCCATTTACAACTGGACCGCTACTGGGCCGAATACAAAGCCACTAATGGGCTGTACAAATGAGTAAGTGCGAAATCCGGTTCTGGGAGGTCCTCGTGGCCGACGAGGGCGTGGCCGACGAGGGCACGGCCGACGAGGGCACCCGGGTTCCTTGGGCTCAGGACCATAATCTGGGTTGGCCCCTTCTTCGGCCGACGGGGGCGTCTTGGCCGACGAGGGCGCCACTCTGTGTCTTGTGTTTTCTGTTCTTCCGAGTATGTGGGTCCGGGGGCTCAGACCCATATACTCCATCACTTACTCTATCCTATAATGAAATAATTTGCAATTTTACTTTTCTTGACAACATGATGTAATTTTATTCTCTTATTTTGAGTATAAAATTTACGTAAAATTTAATTTTCAAAAGAGATTTACATATTAACGTCCAAATTGTATTATTAGCCAATCCTAAAGATCACAAATTAAATTGCAAATCAATTTAGGATATGTGATGTTTCCCATACAATTCAATGTATTCTAAATGTTTTATAAAAAATCTCATTTAATCGGTGATAGGTGTTTTGAGTGGGTGTGAATCAACATAGTTTCTCTATTTGAGAAAAGCATACTCTAGCACAATTGGGGTGTAAAAAATATTGCTCCCCAACCCATCCAAGCACAAATGAACTGCCACCACTTCTTTTCAAGCAGTGAGAGAATACGGATCATACCATTCTTTTTGTTATCAGTTAGTTGATGGCGGACATTTGGTGATTGCCAAATCCCAATACTCCATCAAGTGTGCAATTGGCTTTCTATGCATTGCGTTGAGTTGCACATCTCTAATGTTAAAATAAAAACACAAGTGATACAATCAAAATTAGATCAATTCATCAAGTTTTAAAACAAAGGCATTCGACCGAAATACATAGACTTCATACTTGCAATGAGTATTTTATATTCAACAACACTTACCCATAGGTAATTGGAGCAAAATTGTTAGCAGTGGAAGTTTCAACATTTTTTCCTGGAAAATTCTTTGGGAGGAGACCCAAATGAATATTTATGTTATAAAGTTTTAAAAAAATGGTTATTGATAAGTGATCAAAATTTAATATGATTCGAATATTTTTTTCAAATTTTCTAGTATCCGAGAAGTAAAGAAAACATCAATAATCAAGAGATCTATTGTTTGTGGAGTCACTTACCCAATGCCCAAGCTTCCTCCAAGAGGGAGATCTACCGCACCATCCAATTATAGTTGCAAGAGTGATATACTCCTAACTCTGTCTTGCTCTTTGAATAGACTTATTGAAATACTGTGGTTTGTTGAGATTGCTTTTTCCACACCAAAACTCACTATCTCTCTATCACAAACAAGTGAAACTACAAATGCCACAAGTAACCCCAAATCAACAGATGTTCTCCCACTCATTGTTGATTCTTCATTGAGCTTTTTGACTCATAATTGTACATTGCACAATTTAAGAATTTTGATTTTGGGGTTTAAACATTTTGTGCATTGAACAATATGTTCAGACTCCAAATTTAAATTTCTCAAAATGTGCATTGTACAATTATGAGTCAAAAAGACCAATGGATGGATCAACCATGATTGAGAGACCATTCATTTGGTTTTACTTATGGTATTGATAATTCCATTTGTTTGTGACAGAGATTGGTTTTACTTATGATTGTGAGAGACCATTCATCTGGTTTTACTTATGATTGTGGGTTTTAGCGTGGAAAAGGCAATCTCAACAAATCATAGTAATGTAATAAGCACATTCACAGAGCAAAATAGTGTTAGGAGTATCCGGCTCTTGCAATCATGCTTTCATGGCGACTCAAATCTCCACCTTGGAGAAAGCTTTAAGATTTGTGATGTGATTCCACAAACAATCGATCTCTTGATGTTTATTTATATCTCGCATACTAGAAAATTGAAAAAACACATTCAAATCATATTAAATATTCACTTATCAATAATTATTTGTTTTTGTTAGAATTTATTACACAAATAGTCATTTGGGGTCTTTTCCTACAGAATTTCATGTCCAACTTAATTAGACACAGGAAGTGACGGTCTATGAGTGAATTGTGTTTGTGGCAAGAAATATTGTGAACACCAATCCATGCTAGAGGTAAAATTCGACATGACTTTATTTTCCTTATAATAGTCAAAGGTCCAAAAAAGGTTAAAATGATTAACATATATTACATGTTATATATATCTACTTACATGTCCATTTGTCCTTCTTTGACCCATTGACCTCTGTGACGTTGAGATTCAATCTGTGCCTGACAAGGAAATATGCACCGGGGTTGGTTCCGGATGTTCTGTCCAGAACCACCACACTTACTCTCATCACTATCATTTTTGGGCACTACTGCATTATGTAACTAATATGTTCCATTTAGGAAAAAAATGGAACCTCCACTATTAACACCTTCTCTAATTACTTTTGCGTAAGCAATGTTGAATATCAAATAGACATTCTATGTATGAAGTGTATGTATTTCGATTGATTTTTTTTTGAAAACTTGATGAATTGAACTAGTTGTTTCTTTCTTTGTATCACTTGTTTATTTATTTTAACATTACATATGCAACTCAGTGACAGGGCATAGAAATCCAAATTGCAACACTTGATGGAGTATTAGGATTGTTCAATCGCCAAATTTACGCCGTAAACGAGCGAGTAGCAAAAGGAGTAATAGTATCCACAATCTCCCGCGGCTTGAAAAGAAGTGGTTGCTGTTCATTTTTGCTCTGATGGGTTGTGGTCACTAATATTTTTACACCCCAATTGTGCAATGTATGTTTTTATGAAATGGAGAAACTAAGTTGATTTCCACGCACTCACAACCTAAAGCAGACCCTTTTTGTAAAACATTTAGATTGTGCCGAATTGTAATGATAAAAATCACTCGTATGAAATTGATTTGTACTTTAATATCTCAAAGTTTGGGCACTAAGTCGTAAACTGATTTTGATAAATTGCTACAATATACTCCGTAATATCTATTGTAACATTATTATACCAAGAAATGCTATAATAAAATGATAAATTGCTACAATACATCTATTGTAACACAACTTGGATGCAACATACTAAAAATGCTACATTTGATATTTTGATATATTGTGACCACTGTTCTAAAAGTCGCTCTAAGCATCCAACTAGTCCCCGTCTAGGCGCTAGGCAGTGACCGAACGCCGCGATTTTAGTCTAGGCACCCTGACTAATTGTTTTAGCGCCTAGGTGAATTAGTCGGCTACCTAGAGCGCCATATTTTGTCGATCCTTTTCTCTCTCTAAAAGATCAATGTAGCTTTAACCACACATACGAAGAAATGTACTTGTAGATTAAGATAAAAATTATACGTATTTGTATATATTCTTAAATGTTACTATTATTTAATACTAGTATTTATTATATAATGAAGTTAAGTGAGTAGTTATAATAGATTATTAAATGTGATAATTCTATCATTCATGCATGTTAATTATGTGTATGTGTGTATATATATATATATTATACACACAAACACAATATTACTTATCATATTTATGTGAAATTATTGATAAAACTGTCATTTATATGTCTCCGATAAGTCTACGCCAAGGCGTTAGGCGCTGGGCTGACACCCGACTAGTGCCTTGCACCTTTTAGAACATTGATTGTGACATTTTTGGCACCTATTACAGCATTTTGCATATGCTACAAAAGTTATACTTTATTGTAGTTGTTGTCAAATCATTTCATTATATGATAGAGTAAGTGTGAAATATTTGTGTCTATATGTACACACAGACATATGCATGTCTATAGATATGAGCGCACTCACACATATATTGACAATAGTATCTATAATTTTATATGCATATATTGTTTATACACACATAAAGACACATACTTGAAAATTGAAATTATGCATTCTTTAGATAGAGATGTATGCATCTCGTTTTATTGCAAGCACTTGATATGCAATCAATATGCATCAAATTGCTAGATCAAATTATAGTGTGGAGCTCCAAAGTATTTATAATAATGAGCTATAAGCAATGTTCTAAAAGGCGTAAGGCGTGTCGAGGCGGCATGACCAAGCCTTAAGCCTTTCGAGCCTAGGCGGGCTTAGGCGGGCTTAGGCGGGTCTTAGAAGTGAAAAGGCGTTTTGAATTTTTATACTTTATTTTAGTTTTCCTAGAGCTATTTTACATATTTAAATTTAATATTAAATAATGTTATTCAAAAACATCATACTTTCTCATTTTCAATAAAAAACGATTTGTAGGAGTCCTAAACCTAACAAATTCAGAGTATAAATTTATCAATTACACAAAAATTGGAACTGAAAAAAGTAGTTTAATGATAAGATTAATATTAATAAAAATGAGTAATACCTAATATAAGACCAAAATAAGGAAAATAGTTAATTACATTCAAAAAAAATCTAGTAGTGAATATAAGAATATATTGTCATGTCACTTCAACTTAAAAATAGAACATAAGTTAGTGTGATTAAAGTTACTATAATGAAGAGATCATATTTTTCTAAACAATATTTATTAGTCATTAATATGTAATTGTTTCTAATAATGATGATTAATTTTCCATCATGAGTGATGATAAAAAGAATAGTCTATTGCAATTTATATAACTTTGATGAACAAGTTTAAATAGTTAACAATTGATGGTTGGACAATTCTACATTATCAAAGCCTAAATGTGTTCCATGCATGCAGGAAGACTAGAAGAGGTTTGTTATGTTCGTTTCTATTCTTCCTTATACGGACTTACGGAGTACTTAAATTTCCACACTGGTTGTGTTTACTAACTCCTCATTCCAACGTTCTATAAATATAACATCACTTCTAAAACTCAACTGAAGGCAACGGACTTCATTGTCATGGGCTTCTGCCTATGGGCTATAAGCTTAGTCAAATTTAAGGGTTTGAGTTTCATTGGGCCGCCTTTCTACACGCATTCGGGTTGTGCGGGGCGTTCTAATGATGCCTTACGCCTTGGCCCGCCAAGGCGGCGCCTTTTTAAGTTTTTTAGAACATTGGCTACAAGTACCATGTGATTTAGTAATATATTGTTTTAAATTAATATTTGTTGCGACAGAAGTATCATTTTCTATGTAATGTTAAATGTTTGCGTGTATATACTATATCTAGGTAATAATATGAATGAAGAGTAATATTAACTATTGCTTTTGTCACATCGATCAACTATGTTGTATCAAGTTACGTATGTCTAAAATAGAGAGAGGAGCCAATGTTATGCCTCCACATTAGGGTGCTCCTCTACGATTTTGCGTTTGCATCTATTATTTAGTTATGTTAGTCATTTAATTAAATTTGTACTTTTAGTTTTATAGATATAACACTGTGCTTTAGGATGTAATGTTTATACCATTTTCCATCTATTAGTTTATATTTTGTTGAAGGTGTAATAGGCATTATAATACTCATATTTTACAGAAATAATTGCAATAATATGTATAGGAAAATGAGAGGAATACAAGTCACAACCCCAAGATGTGTCAGAGATATAAATTATGACTAAGATCGGAAAAATGAAGTCACAAATCAAAAGAAGTAAAAATAAGTACTCTTCTAGGTCAACTGACGAAGCCGAAATAGGACAAACACAATGCATTTGAGAGCTAGACTGATCTAGCGTGGACCTCACTATATTAAGGAAAAGTTGATCATATTTAGGGAATATTAGAGATCGAATCCTATTAAAGGAAAAGTTGTATATTATATTTTACTTCTATGAAAGGCAATTCATTATCTACCACTAATAGAAAATTAATGTTTGATCATTCTAAATCATTCTTACTTTATTCTTATTTTATTAATTTACTATCAAGACTTGCTGCTGGAGAAAATTAGAAAGATATCAGTTTTTTGAGGGATGCTTTCCAAGGTAATCAGTGCTCAATAGGGTTTGATTGTGAAGGCGTGTTTTCTGAGATGTTATTATCATATTCGGGAGATGAATTTCTTGGTCATGCTTCAGAAAGCGAGAAGAGAACTCTCATTTGATCGATTGAGGATTTATGGGACTCGGACACCAATCAGGACGTTTGTCATAAGGCTGGTCTAGTCACAAAGGAAAATTGTTTGCCTACATAGAATCTCAACACTCAAATGAAAATTTACAAGAAAAAGCATCAACGCTCACACCATATGAGGACGAGATCCCAATCTTACATGGACGGACGGACAGACTTATGAGGACTTGATGAAACCCACTATTTCATAGGGCTATTTTATAGGGAGTTTTACTATTTGATACTTTGGGTAGGGCTTTTCTATTCATTATTGTTACTATTTAATTTTCATCTTTTCTTTGTACTCTGCTTTTCTCATTAATAAAAATTTCCTTTTGCTTAAAACAAAAGCAGAGACATAGGGATTTTTGGGCTATGGAAATAGAGTTATTGATCAGTTTATTGATAAAAAAAACTCACTTTTCTTAATAACCACACCACACGTCTCAAATCTCAATGTTAGTGGGACATAAGTAGTACAATATAGTATCATGATCACTTAAGTTTAAAAATTTAATATAAGTTACTATGATTAAGTTGCTACTATAGTCACCACTCACATTTTTTGAGCAATCTTTTGTTTTAGTCATAAATATGTAATTATTCCATTAATTTTTAATATATCAAATTCAAAAGTATACATGTTAGCATTTCTTAATCCGATTCCGATGGGTTTCTTTAAAAAAAATCCAATACAGATGGGTTAAGAAAAAATTAAAAAATATATATGCTATTTAAACCATTTTGATTAAATGAGAATGCTTATTTTTGGAATAGAATTTATTTCCACCAGGTGAGTGAGTTTGATATTTGCTGGTGATGACCTCAAACCTTTGGTTCAACATATGTGATGTACACAACTTATACACACTATGTCTATGAAACTTTTTTTTTGTGTGTAAATCCGATTCATAGACAATATTTTGTTTGTGCAAAATATTGTCTGTGAATCGATGTTGACAAAAAAAAGTTTTCACAGACATAGATGTATACAAAAATGTGTATAAGAGTGTGTACAAAATAAATTCATTTGCTGTTCCCGTCCCTGTGCAAGTGTGTACGTGTACAAAAGATAAGTTCATTTGCTGTTCCCGTCCCTGTGCAAGTGTGTAACTAACTGTGTACATCGAACTACTCTTCTACGAACCAGTGAAGCACGGACCCGTAACCCCCAGCCAGCATCTGGAATGCTTTGGAACTACTGTCCCTGCTTTCGGAGTCAACAATGTTCCGGCGACGCAGTGGCCGACAGGGACCCTGTCCTTCTGGTGTCCGGCTTGGGCGGCTCTATCCTCAACTCCAGGAGTAAGAAGAATGGCCAGGAGACCCGGGTTTGGGTCCGGATCCTCCTCGCCGACCTAGAGTTCAAGAAGAAGTTATGGTCTATCTACAACCCCCAAACAGGTACGCTTTGCACTTTTTTCTTTTCAAAATTGCATTGAAGACAATAAACATTGAAATTAAACAATTGTCTTCAGGTTATACAGAGTGTTTAGATGACACTTGTGATATTGTGGTCCCTCAAGATGATCATGGCCTATATGCAATTGATATTTTGGATCCTTCAAGTGTAAGTTGCTATTTCAAATTATAAAATCCCGCTTGGGCTTGACTTTGTTTACTTGGCTATAATGGAAAAGTGAGGTGATGAGTAGTTCCTATTGCTTTAATTTACTGTTGTAATGTATATTTGCTTCTTTTATGATTTATACTGCTTTATTCTGATTTTTGACTGAGAGTACATAACTACTGCTAGACTAGGGGACAAGACTTTACTGATATTCCGAAAGTTAACAATCAATTAAATGCTTGAACATAGAACTTGTATACATACATGGTTGTATGGTCATAGTGGCCAAACG